CCTCATCTTTAGTTAAGGTATGTGATACAGGTTAAAAAGTCCACCGATAATCACATCTCCATCCTGGATTAGACTCTTATCAGTCGGTGCACCCCAGTGGGAGCATACTGTGCCTGAACCACATTCAGTCCTGTCTGTTGGCCCACTGCACTGAGAAGAAGAAGGCTGGAAATCAAACACATTCAAAGATTTTTAACCAATGTCAAAATATGCATAAACTGGAAGTGCAATTAGTGAATCAAACAATCAATGAATGCAAAAGTACTAACAGCCAACATGGTTCATCAAAAATAAAGATATAGTGCATTTTAGGGTTTTTTAAATGGCAAGAAATATCATAGATCCAATTTTACTTCACTGTCATATCAGCTTAATTTCAGTTTCCTGCACAGAGAAAGGACACTACATACAAAAGCATGTTTTACTTGTCTAAAAGCTTGTATCAAAAGATTAATAGCCAACTTAAATTTTGATCCCAACTTTTACCCCCCCTCCAAATCTAAACTAGGGATGTCTTGATGTGCATATTTATAATATGCACAAAGCCTCTTGCAAGTAAGTAAACTATGACACAAGCAGCACACCACAAAGGAGGATTCCTCTCGAGAGTGATAGTGGGGGGGGGGGGAACACTGCTAACAAGTGATTACCTGATATGATGCAGTAGGGAAAAGCCTCCAGGCAGCTTAAACTGTAAATAAATCTGCTTGAACATGTTCAGATAACACGCAGCTTGTAGCTACCCAAAAACCTTTCAATCTAGCCTATTTTTTAATTCCTTGAACATTTTGAGTTAAAAAGCATATTAATGGCATTAAATTATTGATTTGGATCTCCTCAAAACTTTTAGCTAAGTGTTGTAAGTTCGAGTAATTTCAGGATACTTATAAATAATTCAGAAACATTCACATGTTCTGAATTATTGGCTCGCACCTGTTGAGACCAGCCATGTTGGACAGACCCAGGCCCGTACCCATAAAGATGCCTGAATTGAGTACATTAGGAGGGAAACAAAAAAGGACATGCAAAAACAAGTGATTCCCCACATCCCCTGTAGCAACTCACACCTAAGGTGTAAAGTGTGGGGAACCTGGAACCTGTTAAAATCGGTTGATCAACCTTCAACAAATTGAACAGCAGATTAAACTTTGTATCAATCACCAGGAGAGTGATCCCAAGTAAGAGGCTTTTTTCTTGGCAGAAATAGCTTAGGAAATTTCTTCAATAACAATTAATAATTGTGTTTTATCACCTGTTGTAAGCTGCTGCATTTGTTTTTTTGTTACTTAATCATCATGTTCACCTGTGTGTTTATTCAATCTGCTGTCTCAGCTCACTATCAGTAAACTGCCTTCAAAATCAGAAAGACCACTGTACCTGCTGGCAAATCAAAGTTCGACCACTGCCTTTCTGGTGTTTAAATTATAGTTACTGAACTGATCACAGAGAGTTCAAGCTGCTATAGGCCAAGCCACAGGGCTCTCCCTCTCTCTCTATCTGTCTCTCTTTTTCCGCCAATTTTCTCTCTCTCTCTCTCTCACACACACACAAGCACGTATGCCACGTATGTTCATTTGTTTATAGATATATTTTTTTGCTGTAGTTTAGTTTATAATAGTTATTTTTTTAATTGAGTTTCATTGATTGCAGTTGATGTTGCCTTGTTAAATAAATTATATTATAATTTATATTTAAAAGGCAGTTGTCTTTGATTACTGGTGTATGTGCATTGTGATAACAGATGGGTGCAAGGGCTAGTATACGGATTCACGCCTTCCATTTATTTGAATAAGGATACTTGTTAAATATTAATAATGTAGATATTTAACTAATTACAATTAAGTATGATTTGTGTTATCTGGCTGTTATTCCCTGATTCCAGGAGGGTGCCCCATTGTTGTTAATTGAAAATCATAATTTTATTAATTTATATTAATAATGGATTAATCTCATTATTCATATTAATAATTAAATTATGGCCAAAATTACTTCATAATACCCCAACATAATTGGTGCCCGCATGAGGCCCGCTATAAACCAGCCTCATCGCATTGTTTGTGCTAGGTAAAGTACTTATTTATTTATTTTTGAGAATGTACTTTCAAGCAAAGTATACATTACGTTGTGGTTTAGTTTGTGTTGTGTGTTGTTGGTGAGTTGGGTAGTATAATTACTTTGTGTTGTCCTTTTGTTGTTTAAGACAACAATTTAGCCATTTGTACAGTTGAGATAGTAACCAATGCACAGAGTAGCCAGCTGTCTGAGAGGTGTGAGTTTCCCAAATCATCAGAGGTCTTGAGGTGTTTCCAGGATAGAGTGCAGTGACAAGTTTAAAACTTAGACCAGATTTGCTCTCCTGTGGATTTTAGATTTTTTTTAGCTAAGCAGCTTCACTAAAAGTCATTATGAGCCACTGGGGTTCCATTTCACCAGGTACAATTTGTGCCAAGACCCTAGGTGAGCCAGAAGCTGAGACTCCCTTTGAAAAAGACCATGCAGCACTGCAAGAAACAGTTGCTGGTGTGATCCATCTATCCTTAGAGAAGATTAACAACCTCAATAGCTATTCAATTAGCATTTGTGATAGATATAAAATAAAGGAGCTAGTTGATCATATCAACTATCAAACTAGGAAACCCAAAGCATGATCCTGGATGTTGTTGGGAAGCTCCTCCTACTTGCTTAACATATGTCCTAACATATGTCCTTTCTGCAGCTAAGCCAGCTGCAAGTAGAAAAAGGAACTCTGCAGGAAAAGAACAAAAGCCTGGAGAACAGTTCAAACCCTGCAGGATGAGGTCCGATCCCTACAGACAGAAAATAAAGTTGGTCATCAGCACACTTCCAATCTGCCAGGCAGAAAGTGCTGGACGTGTTGGAATTGATTCAGGGAGCAGAGGTTAGCATAGAGCAATATATGTCATCAGCATATGGCTTTGATCTTGAACCAAGCCCCTTTAAAGATATACTGTTATATACTATTTTAGCCATTGTATGCAATTCACAATGAAGAACAGTAAAGAGGCTATAAAATGTAAAATCCCAAAGAAGTTCTATTGATCCAGTAATTTTCTATTATCTATTACATATCTGGAATCAGTCACTGTGTAGAATCCCTCCTCTGATAAAGGAAGCTGCCTATGTCAATGTACATTTTAATCAGTGTATCACAAGAAATGAAATTGGACATGACAGTCTTGGGTTAAATAATATTAACATATCTCAAACTAACATCAGTAGGCCTATATTATTTATGATCTAACGAGGTATATAAACAAGCAGTAGTTAAAGTAATCTGTCATTGATGTGATTTTAATGTTATGCTTAATTATTGAAACAATTCAGAAGAAAACTTTTTCTAAGAGCAATTATATTTAGTGTATTTGTGTAAATAGGAACATGTGACAGTAAATGCTGTGAAACAAATGGGTGTTTCTTGTTATGTTTACAATGATGGGATTCAACAAAATCAGTATATAATGTTAAATTATCAAATCTATTTAATTAAACAAGTAAACAGTGACAATTGGGGGATGCCCTGCAACATACATTTATTTCTGAAATAAAACATTGCCAATGGTATAAGATTTAATCAAATCTAAGACTTGAACACAAAACATATTACAGCAAACAGTAACAGAAAAATCCGGACTCACCAGTTAAATCTAGAAAACTAAAAGAGAGGAAATCACTTAAATTTTGACTGAACATGCACGGGTTGATTACTAACTATTATTGCATTCTATTCAGTTTGTTACTAATGATATATTTCTGTCTGATCTGTTCTTGGAATCAGGACATTACCGTAGGATTGGAAGACCAATGGACTCTCACCACAGAGAAACATCTAACTTCCAATTAAGGGTCTATGTTTACATTTAAGCCAGATCAACTATCTGGCCATTAGCTGTTTCTTTGTGTTTTTCTCTGGCCTCAAAAGAATAATGAAACATTTGGGGGCAAATATGCAAAGCAGTAAACCATAGCTGGAGGCCAAGATGGAAAAGATTTCTACAGCCACAACATATTTTCCAGGAGAGCTAACATAAGCAGGAACAAAAGCTACCCATACTGCACAGAATATCAGCATGCTGAAGGTGATCAGTTTGGCCTCATTGAAGTTGTCAGGAAGATTCCGAGCAAGAAAAGCCAAGAGGAGGCAGGTGCAGGCCAGCAGGCCAATGTAGCCAAGAACCAGAGAGAAGCCCACCAGGGAACCCATGGCACACTCTAGTGTGACCTTTGATCCTTGGAAACCCAGATCACGTCGAGGCACTGGAGGACTGATGGACAACCATGTGGCACAGATAATAACCTGAAAGAAAGGAAACACATTTCAGTGTTATACATATATACTTAAAAAGTAAGTAATTACTAATGCATATTAATTAAATTGTTATATTCATTTAATTAAGAAAATGCTACCAAACCACACCTGTATACAGGTGAAGAGAAAGACACTCCCTCTCTGTTGAACAGGACCAAACCACTTCATCAAGGTTTCAGCACCAGGCCGAGCTGAGCGGAAAACAGCAAGCACTACGAGGGTTTTAACCAGAAGGCAGGAAACACAAAGTACAAAGCTGATCCCAAAGGCTGCCTGCTGAAACCGACAGGACCAGACTGATGGACGACCAATGAACACCAGTGAGCACAGGAAGCAGAGCTTCAGGGACAGAAGAAGCAGGAAGCTGAGTTCTGAATTGTTGGCTCGTACCTAAAAAAGAGTTGAGATGTATTTGTAACAACTAAGGATGTTGAAAATACAAAGTATTCTCCATTACATGAAACTGTGATCTTACCATGGGTGTTTGGCGGTTGCAAAAAAATAGAACAAACACAGCTGTTGTCACCACAACACCGGATGCAGCCACTGTTGTCAGAGTGATGCCCAATGTTTCGTTAAAGGAAAGGAAGTCCAACTGACGAGGGACGCAGGCAGTTTGCATAACATTGGACCAGAACTCAGATGGACATCGCTGACAATTTAGAGAACCTGGAAGAAAAAAAAGCTAATGAAACACAAAGAATCAAAGAAAGTTTACAACACAAGTTTGTGTCAAATTTAGGGCAGATTTCCTCACCAGTTTCATTGCTTATTTCCCCCTCAGTGCATGGGATACAGTCAAAGCAGCAGAGAGGCTCTCCTTTCCTGTTGGCCTTTCGGGTACCTGGAGGGCAGCTCTCACTGCACACTGAAAAAGGAACCTTGACAAAAAACTTTAATTTAAAAATATATATATTCTCATTGGTACAAATCTAGAAACTGACTATTAGATTCATTTCAACAGAAAATTTGAAAGTAACTTTAGACCACTTGTTGCTTCGTAACAACCTGACTGGATCCTGAGCTCCACTGCACAGCTGACTCATTAAGATGGAGTTAAACCCATCCACACGACCAACCAAGACAAGTTTGAGTTGCCCCTCTGGTTGTTTCTGCCAATTGACGAGGTCATACATTGCTGGAATGTCAGCACCTTGGAAGTAAAACCTTTCCCCATGTGGTGTGGTGATGTTCACTTTGTTCAATTGCTGTAACAGCTGAAAATATCAAGTGTTGAAGAAACGGTTAAAAACGTTGTGAATTATAAGGTGAATTATAAGATGGTACATTGATAGAAGTTTTCACCTCTATGTGTTTGATGTTTTTCTGAAAGGTGCATGTATGGGTATTACAGGAGAGAAGGCTATGAAGGGCATGGGCAGCAGCATAAACGGCAAGGTAGACATTATATGCCACCCTTAGCTGAGAGGTATCAGTAAAGTGATTTTCCACGTTCTCCAGGGACTCTGTTCCACTGCAGAGTGGTGGTGAAATTTTCTGAGGAGGAACGTTATCAGTTGAGGAAGCAGAAACATTTGTGAGGTAGTCAGACCTTGGAATGAGGGATGAAGAGAAATAGGAAGAAAGAGGACTGCATCCAAATTCCTTTTGCCAGAATTCTCTTAAGAAAACATCATTAGGACGACGAATTGGATGCAAACTTCTGAGATAATTTTCAAATCCAGGTATAGTTGAACTACGAATGGCCACACCAAGAACACCATTTGTTACTTTAGAGATGGTTTGATCTTGGAGAAGATCATCACTGGTACTCCAAGCCTCACTTGCCAGGAACTGTCTGTCAGTCACCTACGAATGACATTATTTTTATAATATATATATATATATATATATATGTATATATATATCTTTGTTTTTAAAATAAACCTTTTCAAAAAACACATTTCCATGCTGTCTGCCCACATTTCTCTTGGCCAGTTCCAGAAGCAGTTTCTTTACTTCAGTATACCAGCAGAAGATCAGAATCACCCTCGCAGTCGAAGCTTGAATTGTGAGTGCTGCACGTTTTGCATCAGTCACAATAGTTTCTGTCTTGAGGGTCTCAATGAATTCCAAACACACTCCTTTCCCAAAAATCTCTTTCTGGAATACCTGAAATATAAATATTCCAAATATGTTTTTACATACTGTGTATGCCAACTGTGCTTTAAATGAGATACATGATATAGTATTTATAACAATGCATAGTGCAAAAAACACAAAGACATACTGTGCACCTGTATTGCAAGCTGACCATAATCATTGTTTGACACCACTGCTCCTATCCATGTCCAGTGGAAGCGAATGGCCAATTGTGCCATGGCCCAAGCTTGGTAAACATCACTGGGAATTGTTCTGAAGAAATTAGGATATTTAAGCCTGTCACTAAGGCAGGGGCAGCTTGACAGGTAGCTGATCTAAAAGAAGGACACACAAATATTGATTATTTCTTTTTACAAGAAAGATTCCATTTTATTTTTCTATCAGAATCTTTATGTAGATTGTGTAAACATACGATTATGAAGAGGTTTATTTTTGAGGTAATGAAACTTACAACTGGTACATAGAGAGGCCCCAGGGTGCTGGACATCATTATGCCTGTTGTAGAGGATGCAGCACCAATGATCATCGGTACAGGCAGACCACCTTAATGCATTTGGGCTCATGATTACATAGGGAAGCATTTTTTACCACATTTAATCATCTTTTGGTTTTGTGGAGGTAAGATATTTCAACTGAATACTAAATGATATCACGTACCTGCTCTCACTACAGGTTGTTCATTAGATTCAATAGGACCTGCAAAGGCTGTCAAGTTACAGCTGTGTGTGTCTCCCCCAACCAATGACATTGCACCTTGCAGAGCCCACGGGTACAGGATACAGCTATCAAGTATACGGTAACCCAGCTTCACTCCTGGTAGTAGGGTGTTGTTTCGATTGATTTCCTCCACAGCAAACACCATGGCATAAGAGTATTTTAACGGCTCCAGTTCTAAGCTGAGACCATAAGAGAGAGAGGAGAGCAGAATGTATTAACTTCAACAACAATCAGGACACAAGGCTGTCTAAAAACATGAACAAGCAACATGAATTAACTAGGGTAAAATCTATTAAAGTAATTGTAAAATAATTAAAGTGAGCTCTTCAACTATTTTAACAGGTGATAAAACTTTTAAAGTATCACAAAAATTGAGTTAATTCCTGGATCTGCAGAATTAAATTTGTCTGCAGACTAAAATAAGACTTTAGGAAAAAATTTAAAAAATACAATGTGCAATCACATAATGAATACTCAGTAACCCGCCAAACATTTAACAAAACTATATGTAGTTATTAAGCTCACCCAGTACAAGGTTCATAATGTGGTTTCTTTGTGTAGTCCTCATCTACAGTTGAAGGTATGTGATACAGGTTAAAAAGTCCACCGATAATCACATCCCCATCCTGGATTAGACTCTTATCAGTCGGTGCACCCCAGTGGGAGCATACTGTGGCCTGAACCACATTCAGTCCTGTCTGTTGGCCCACTGCACTGAGAAGAAGAAGGCTGGAAATCAAACACATTCAAAGATTTTTAACCAATGTCAAAATATGCATAAACTGGAAGTGCAATTAGTGAATCAAACAATCAGTGAATGCAAAAGTACTAACAGCCAACATGGTTCATCAAAAATAAAGATATAGTGCATTTTAGGGTTTTTTAAATGGCAAGAAATATCATAGATCCAATTTTACTTCACTGTCATATCAGTTTAATTTCAGTTTCCTGCACAGAGAAAGGACACTACATACAAAAGCATGTTTTACTTGTCTAAAAGCTTGTATCAAAAGATTAATAGCCAACTTAAATTTTGATCCCGACTTTAACATACCCCCCCTCCAAATCTAAACTAGGAATGTCTTGATGTGCAAATTTATAATAAGTACAAAGCCTCTTGCAAGTAAGTAAACTATGACACAAGCAGCACACCACAAAGGAGGATTCCTCTCCAGAGTGATGGTGGGGAAAAAACACTGCTAACAAGTGATTAGCAGATATGATGCAGTAGGGAAAAGCCTCCAGGCACCCTAAACTGTAAATAAATCTGCTTGAACATGTTCAGATAACACACAGCTTGTAGCTACCCAAAAACCTTTCAATCTAGCTTGTTTTTAATTCCTTGAAAATTTTGAGTGAAAAAGCATATTAATGGCATTGTCTCTGTCCATTGCCAATTATGTTTTAGATCTCCTCAAAACTTTTAGCTAAGTGTAAGTAAGTTCGAGTAATTTCAGGATACTTAAAAACAAGTGTGTGCAGTACATGTTTACATTAAAAAATACCATGTTCTTCATACAAAAATAGGTTTCTTATTTATTTGATTTGTAACAGGAATTATTTGAGACTCCAAACAACAACAATATTCACATGTTCTGAATTATTGGCTCGCACCTGTTGGGACCAGCTATGTGTTGGACAGACCCAGGCCCGTATCCCCATAAAGATGCCTGAATTGAGTACATTAGGAGGGAAACAAAAAAGGACATGCAAAAACAATGATTCCCCACATCCCCTGTAGCAACTCACACCTAAGGTGTAAAGTGTGTGGGAACCTGGAACCTGTTAAAATCGGTTGATCAACCTTCAACAAATTGAACAGCAGATTAAACTTTGCATCAATCACCAGGAGAGTGATCCCAAGTAATAGGCTTTTTCTTGGCAGAAATAGCTTTAGGAAATGTTTCTTCAATAACAATTGATAATTGTGCTTTATCATCTGTTGTAAACTGCTGCATTTGTTTTATTGTTGCTTAACCATCATGTTCACCTGTGTGTTTATTCAATCTGCTGTCTCAGCTTACTATCAGTAAACTGCCTTCAAAATCAGAAAGACCACTGTACCTGCTGGTAAATCAATAACCGGAACTGATCAGAGAGTTGAAGCTGCTACAGGCCAAACCACACGGCTCCCTCTCTCTATCTGTCTCTCTTCCTCCGCCAATTTTCTCTCTCTCTCTCTCTCTCTCTCACACACACGCACGTATGCCACGTATGTTCATTTGTTTATAGATATATTTTTTTGCTGTAGTTTAGTTTATAATAATTATTTTTTTTATTGAGTTTCATTGATTACAGTTGATGTTGCCTTGTTAAATAAATTATATTATAATTTATATTTAAAAGGCAGTTGTCTTTGATTACTGGTGTATGTGCATTGTGATAACAGATGGGTGCAAGGGCTAGTATACAGATTCACGCCTTCCATTTATTTGAATACAGATACTTGTTAAATATTAATAATGTAGATATTTAACTAATTACAATTAAGTATGATTTGTGTTATCTGGCTGTTATTTCCTGATTCCAGGAGGGTGCCCCATTGTTATTAATTGAAAATCATAATTTTATGAATTTGTATTAATAATGGATTAATCCTCATTATTCATATTAATAATTAAATTATAGCCAAAATTACTTCATAATACCCCAACATAATTGGTGCCCCGCATGAGGCCCGCTATAAACCAGCCTCATCGCATTATTTGTGCTAAGTAAAGTACTTATTTATTTATTTTTGAGAATATACTTTCAAGCAAAGTATACATTACGTTGTGGTTTAGTTTGTGTCGTGTGTTGTTGGTGAGTTGGGTAGTATAATTACTTTGTGTTGTCCTTTTGTTGTTGAAGACAACAATTTGGCCATTTGTACAGTTGAGATGGTAACCAATGCACAGAGTAGCCAGCTGTCTGAGAGGTGTAAAGTTTCCCAAATCATCAGAGGTCTTGAGGTGTTTCCAGGATAGAGTGCAGTGACAAGTTTAAAACTTAGACCAGATTTGCTCTCCTGTGGATTTTAGATTTTTTTTAGCTAAGCAGCTTCACTAAAAGTCATTATGAGCCACTGGGGTTCCATTTCACCAGGTACAATTTGTGCCAAGACCCTAGGTGAGCCAGAAGCTGAGACTCCCTTTGAAAAAGACCATGCAGCACTGCAAAAAACAGTTGCCGGTGTGATAAATAAAAATAAGTTGATCATATCAACTATCAAACTAGGAAACCCAAAGCATGATCCTGGATGTTGTTGGGAAGCTCCTCCTACTTGCTTAACATATGTCCTAACATATGTCCTTTCTGCAGCTAAGCCAGCTGCAAGTAGAAAAAGGAACTCTGCAGGAAAAGAACAAAAGCCTGGAGAACAGTTCAAACCCTGCAGGATGAGGTCCGATCCCTACAGACAGAAAATAAAGTTGGTCATCAGCACACTTCCAATCTGCCAGGCAGAAAGTGCTGGACGTGTTGGAATTGATTCAGGGAGCAGAGGTTAGCATAGAGCAATATATGTCATCAGCATATGGCTTTGATCTTGAACCAAGCCCCTTTAAAGATATACTGTTATATACTATTTTAGCCATTGTATGCAATTCACAATGAAGAACAGTAAAGAGGCTATAAAATGTAAAATCCCAAAGAAGTTTCTATTGATCCAGTAAATTTTCTATTATCTATTACATATCTGGAATCAGTCACTGTGTAGAATCCCTCCTCTGATAAAGGAAGCTGTCTATGTCAATGTACATTTTAATCAGTGTGTCACAAGAAATGAAATTGGACATGACAGTCTTGGGTTAAATAATATCAACATATCTCAAACTAACATCAGTAGGCCTATATTATTTATGATCTAAAGAGGTATATAAAGAAGGAGTAGTTAAAGTAATCTGTCATTGATGTGATTTTAATGTTATGCTTTATTATTGAAACAATTCAGAAGAAAACTTTTTCTAAGAGCAATTATATTTAGTGTAAATTGTGTAAATAGGAACATGTGACAGTAAATGCTGTGAAACAAATGGGTGTTTCTTGTTATGTTTACAATGATGGGATTGAAAAAAGTCAGTATATATTGTTAAATTATCAAATCTGTTTAATTAAACAAGTAAACAGTGACAATTGGGGGATGCCCTGCAACATACATTTATTTCTGAAATAAAACATTGCCAATGGTATAAGATTTGATCAAATCTAAGACTTGAACACAAAACATATTACAGCAAACAGTAACAGAAAAATTCGGACTCACCAGTTAAATCTAGAAAACTAAAAGAGAGGAAATCACTTAAATTTTGACTGAACATGCACGGGTTGATTACAAACTATTATTGCATTCTATTCAGTTTGTTACGAATGATATATTTCTGTCTGATCAGTTCTTGGAATCAGAACATTACCCTAGGATTGGAAGACCAATGGGCTCTCACCACAGAGAAACATCTAACTTCCAATTAAGGGTCTATGTTTACATTTAAGCCAGATCAACTATCTGGCCATTAGCTGTTTCTTTGTGTTTTTCTCTGGCCTCAAAAGAATAATGAAACATTTGGGGGCAAATATGCAAAGCAGTAAACCATAGCTGGAGGCCAAGATGGAAAAGATTTCTACAGCCACAACATATTTTCCAGGAGAGCTAATATAAGCAGGAACAAAAGCTACCCATACTGCACAGAATATCAGCATGCTGAAGGTGATCAGTTTGGCCTCATTGAAGTTGTCAGGAAGATTCCGAGCGAGAAAAGCCAAGAGGAGGCAGGTGCAGGCCAGCAGGCCAATGTAGCCAAGAACCAGAGAGAAGCCCACCAGGGAACCCATGGCACACTCTAGTGTGACCTTTGATCCTTGGAAACCCAGATCACGTCGAGGCACTGGAGGACTGATGGACAACCATGTGGCACAGATAATAACCTGAAAGAAAGGACACACATTTCAGTGTTATACATATATACTTAAAAAGTAAGTAATTACTAATGCATATTAATTAAATTGTTATATTCATTTAATTAAGAAAATGCTACCAAACCACACCTGTATACAGGTGAAGAGAAAGACACTCCCTCTCTGTTGAACAGGACCAAACCACTTCATCAAGGTTTCAGCACCAGGCCGAGCTGAGCGGAAAACAGCAAGCACTACGAGGGTTTTAACCAGAAGGCAGGAAACACAAAGTACAAAGCTGATCCCAAAGGCTGCCTGCTGAAACCGACAGGACCAGACTGATGGACGACCAATGAACACCAGTGAGCACAGGAAGCAGAGCTTCAGGGACAGAAGAAGCAGGAAGCTGAGTTCTGAATTGTTGGCTCGTACCTAAAAAAGAGTTGAGATGTATTTGTAACAACTAAGGATGTTGAAAATACAAAGTATTCTCCATTACATGAAACTGTGATCTTACCATGGGTGTTTGGCGGTTGCAAAAAAATAGAACAAACACAGCTGTTGTCACCACAACACCGGATGCAGCCACTGTTGTCAGAGTGATGCCCAATGTTTCGTTAAAGGAAAGGAAGTCCAACTGACGAGGGACGCAGGCAGTTCGTTCAACATTGGACCAGAACTCAGATGGACATCCCTCACAATTAAGAGAACCTGGAAGAGAAAAAAGCTAATGAAACACAAAGAATCAAAGAAAGTTTGCAACACAAGTTTGTGTCAAATTTAGGGCAGATTTCCTCACCAGTTTCATTGCTTATTTCACCCTCTATGCATGGGATACAGTCAAAGCAGCAGAGAGGCTCTCCTTTCCTGTTGGCCTTTCGGGTACCTGGAGGGCAGCTCTCACTGCACACTGAAAAAGGAACCTTGACAAAAAACTTTAATTTCAAAATATATATATTCTCATTGGTACAAATGTATAAACTGACTATGAGATTCATTTCAACAGAAAATTTGTAAGTAGACTTTAGACCACTTGTTGCTCCGTGACAACCTGACTGGATCCTGAGCTCCACTGCACAGCTGACTCATTAAGATGGATATTAAACCCATCCACACGACCAACCAAGACAAGTTTGAGTTGCCCCTCTGGTTGTTTCTGCCAATTGACAAGGTCATACATTGCTGGAATGTCAGCACCTTGGAAGTAAAACCTTTCCCCATGTGGTGTGGTGATGTTCACTTTGTTCAATTGCTGTAACAGCTGAAAATATCAAGTGTTGAAGAAACGGTTAAAAACGTTGTGAATTATAAGGTGAATTAGAAGATGGTACATTGATAGAAGTTTTCACCTCTATGTGTTTGATGTTTTTCTGAAAGGTGCATGTATGGGTATTACAGGAGAGAAGGCTATGAAGGGCATGGGCAGCAGCATAAACGGCAAGGTAGACATTATATGCCACCCTTAGCTGAGAGGTATCAGTAAAGTGATTTTCCACGTTCTCCAGGGACTCTGTTCCACTGCAGAGTGGTGGTGAAATTTTCTGAGGAGGAACGTTATCAGTTGAGGAAGCAGAAACATTTGTGAGGTACTCAGACCTTGGAATGAGGGATGAAGAAAGAGGACTGCATCCAAATTCCTTTTGCCAGAATTCTCTTAAGAAAACATCATTAGGACGACGAATTGGATGCAAACTTCTGAGATAATTTTCAAATCCAGGTATAGTTGAACTACGAATGGCCACACCAAGAACACCATTTGCTACTTTAGAGATGGTTTGATCTTGGAGAAGATCATCACTGGTACTCCAAGCCTCACTTGCAGGAACTGTCTGTCAGTCACCTACGAATGACATTATTTTATAATATATATATATTATATATATATATGTAATATATATATCTTGTTTTTTTAAATAACCTTTTCAAAAAACACATTTCCATGCTGTCTGCCCACATTTCTCTTGGCCAGTTCCAGAAGCAGTTTTTTTACTTCAGTATACCAGCAGAAGATCAGAATCACCCTCGCAGTCGAAGCTTGAATTGTTGAGTGCTGCACGTTTTGCATCAGTCACAATAGTTTTTCTGTCTTGAAGGGTCTCAATGAATTCCAAACACACTCCTTTCCCAAAAATCTCTTTCTGGAATACCTGAATATAAATATTCCAAATATGTT